AAAGTTATGAGAGGATTAGAAAGCTATGAAAACTAATCAACGAGAGAGATCCACATCAAAGGATCGTAGATCTGAACTCCGCGGGAGACTGTAAAGAGTGGATAGAGTAGGTTGCGGTAGCAATCCTACTCACTCCACGATCCAAAACGGAACGCGTGGAAGATTCGTCTAGCATTTATCTAGTAGCGTGGAATCTCTCCACGCCAGCTAAATATCTAGCGCGATGTTTCACCATCGACCTAGTATGACTAGCGGTCATGAGAACCCTGTCTCACATTCTCTCAAACTCAAAACACTCGAAAGATCTTTACACTAGCTTTTAGCGTAGTGCATTGTCATTCTGCCAAGGATTTCTCCATGGGAAAGGTGCTCCTGTCCTCACTCTCAGCATTGTTCCTTCTGTGCGGCGGCAGAAGAGTCGATCGATCGTCGTCCCGGAAGAGAGTCGATCGATAGAGGAGTCGTCGCTCCGTGGAAGAGGAGGTGTCATGGTAAGAAGTCACCGAATCGATCCGTCGAACGGAAGCAGTCAACGACCGATCGTCGAACGGCTGCCGCTGCCGCTAACCAACCAAGAGAAGCCTGTCATGGTGGAGACGTCTTCAAGAGTAGTAGCCGCTGTAAAGAGGAGATAGTAACATCATCTTGATAGAGTAAAAGAAGAGATACTAGTATCGATCCATCGAAACAAATGAAAAAGAGGAGTGGCTCCGAGTGATGTCATTTGAGTTTAGGGGTGAGGCTATTTGTCCTCTAAGTCGTTTCAAGTTACGACTGTACTTTTAAGCCTTTTAGACATGATGTCGTAGTTCGCATTCCAATGTCCTAGCGGTACCGTGCTTGCGTTTGCGTCAATAGCACCGATACAGCCTGTAGTGCTTGTCCATCACTACGAAGAACAACACCATTGATATCAACACTGATCCAAACTATCAGTTCCAATATTTACCTATGTTAATAAAACATAAGCTCCAGTTGTCCCCTACATTAGCCACCAATGATGTTGACAACAACTCCTGCTGTTGCTGCGCCTAAGCACTCACCAAAATCATCCTTATCCTCGTTGTCTTAAACATCGATCGCTTCGCTCTTCATAGACTTCATAGAGCCCAAGCTTCGATTTCATCGTACAAAGCTAAAAGCTCACAAGGACTCAGTTCTCTGTTGGTTGAATCCAGATCAGACATCTCTGCTGTCTCTTGCAACGAAACGTGTGCTGGACGATTGTCAGGCGTCAATGGCTGGCCAAGACCCTTGGCGAGATCTTCCCACGTCTCAGGGCAGAGATCTTGCTCTCGCAACTCCTCGCAAATTTCCTCGTTCGCGATGCGTATCTCTTCCTTCAGAGGGTCTTCTGGAGGCTTACAGGCCGGAAGCAGCTTCAGGCCAGTCATCATGTAATACCAATTTGTGGCTGCCTTCATTGCAAGAAGCATGGGATCGGGGACTTTGTAATCCAAGCTATTCTGAAGTTTCACTTTCAAGACATTGAATCCAGTAACATGTCGCTCTGGCACACGGACCGTCCGAGTAGCGAGCTCTTCAAGAACCTGCTCCATCCCCCTTGCATTGTCTTCACTGCCAATCAGATCTAAAGGGCGAACACAACCTTCACGAGTAGCGCTCTCTGCAAGTGCCTTGATCGTTGCAGTCAGCAGGTCCCGCGCACAATTCAGATCTCCTGGCTGGGCCTCTGATACAACCCGTCCCTCTTCGCGAGCGTTGAATCCCCTGCCACCTATCATTTGTCAGGCAACTCTCTCAGTCTTTCAGATCAGTACAACCTCGTATTCCTTACCAGGTGTCCAGTCCTTTGCGTCGTTGGGAGGGATGCATGGGAGAACGAAGAATCCCGGGTTTGTATCGAAAGGAATCCTATAGGATCCCGGAACCCAAATTTTGTTGATGAGTAAGTTTTTGACGGCATAAGCGTTGTCGTTTGCAATGTGCTTCATGATTTTCATCCTCAACTGGAACTCCTCGTCATCCGAACCCTTTTGAATGCAATCGCTCCTCGCATTGATCTCGTCAATTCTCTGACTAGCCGCTCGAAGTCTCCGGAGTGAGAGAGGGGGAAGAAAGGGGTCGCCGTTCTCGTCCATCATTTCGGGAAGGTCAAGGTCCAAGCCCATGACGCACTGTAAGAATGGACCATACGCTGGAGCACATCTTTTGTAGTTGGGGACAGCGTGAGCATCTTCACCACCTATGGTACCCAAGATATCAAACTTGCCCCCTTCCTCCGGTGGGTTCTGCTTTAAGCGCAACTTATCGCTCTTAAGGATGCTGCTTTTCCTTGAACCCCCACTACTGTTGGTTTTGCTTTGTCTTTTCAATAAGACCTATCTCGTTGAGAACCACGCGGTAGTGGCGATTCGTCTTGGTTCGTCGAATGCCATTGAGACCACCAGCAAACTCCACACGTTCATTCGCTTCCCCAAAAACCTGGTCCACGAGACTATAGAATTTCCCTTGATGACCAAACTTGTTTTCTTGTTTAATTCCTGGGGATAGGTTGTTTCATATGCTTCACTGTACAAATCCATGCTGAATAGATCAGAGAGCAATTCTTCCTCTAAATCCACCTCCTCCTCTTCATTAGATTCTCGAGTAGAAGAGGTTGCATGACTTGCTTTCAGGGGCGGCAAGGGCGGCTGATTGGTCTTAGCTTGCACAGGTACTTTCCTCATCATGGAGCTGCTGGCCGTGCCTAGCACTGTATCCTGTTTCTTCTTCTTCTTCGAGCGCGAAATACTTCTTCTGCTAGTAGAGCTCAGAGCTAAAGAGACGAAGTACGAAGAGATATGATTGCAATATCGCAATTGCTGCTGTGGTGGGATGATGTTGTTGACGGTGTGTGTTGGTGCTGGTGATGAGCGAGTCGTATTCCTAAACGTGGGATGGTACATGAGCGTGGAAACTCTCTAACCCTCACACCCTCACTCGCACCACAGGAAGTTGCCTGAAATATGCGTGATCGTGCCGGCGTCCAGCGTGTTTGGTTGCTATTATTATGGATGTACATGTACTAGTACATGTACATGCACATGACATTGTATTAATAGTAGCATGGCTTATGTCATTCATCTTTCGCTCCCAAATGAGCAAATCAAAAGCAACCCAAGACAAACCGAAAGGTCCGCCCTCGTTTGAATGGGAATCGGTCTTGACAGATGGTCGAGTGAAGTCTGTTATCCAAGCCGAAGATGCCAATGCTGGGGTATTCCGAAAAAATACCCTCCAACTCATCAAAACCTGTTCCTCCTTGTTATTGAGAAAGGTGGTACAACAGAGCTCTCGTCACAAACAACCACACACAAATGATAAGAACGGGCCATCGGTACTAGTCTTGTCGGCTCGGGATCTCAAGGATGGTGTCGCTGATCAGGAGGAATCATCGTTGGGGTTTTTGCAAACGGCGCTGGAAAATGCTGCCGCGGCAGACACTGGCAAAATGGCACGGCCGAAAGCCAAACGAAAACAGCCACCACCTGCAACGGACAACAACAAGCCTCGTAACAAGAAAAGCAAGACAGCAGGGGTGGAGGAAGAGTCAATACAACAAGCACTGGAGATATCGCAGCAACAAGGCGCAACTACAGCTCATGATCACAGCACATCAGAAGACAAAATTACACTAGACGAAGAAGATTACGACTAGTATTTAAATAAGGGTTTGAAGAAGGAGACTGGAGCTTCGTTGATTGTCGCGTGGAACCTTCTTGTCTGTAAAATCACAGGTTGTTGTCAATCGTTTATTCCATGGATACACGTCCAAAACATACATTTCCACCCTGCAGTAGGTTATCCCGCTTTTACCTACCCAGGAGTGGTTGTTTGGTTGCAAAAAGAAACATTGTGTTGCCGGAAGGCAGCTGCCCAAAAGTACGGTAGTGGGGGGACGGTACGGCCCTAAACACTTCCGGGGTAGATTTCCGACCAAATTTGCCTCATCCTTGCCGATAAGTCAGGGTGGTTTTGTTGAAACTCAGCAGGCTTTTCGGCAAACAGCACCAAGACAGCATTCACAGAACTGGCAATGACACTCATCAGGATACTGCACAATACCACACCAATGATAAAGCCCAAACCAAACGCCATCAATTTCGAATCTCCCGGATTATCTTCGTCGATCCAACCAGCCAACCACTCTATTAGGATACCCAAAGCTCCCGTCAGACCACCAACCACGAGACTGACCAGAAACAGCGTGTTTCCAACTAAATCATCGGCAATAATCGATTCCCAACCACGGTTGGCGAACAACTGCATCACGTTGGATCCAGATTCACAGTAGCCCATGCCATAAACGCCAACATAGATGAATGCCCACTGCAGAACAGAACAGAACATCACAACAAAGAAAGGAAGCTTTAGTCAAAAATCTGTCTGTGAAAGCAATCACACATCCATCGACTGACTACTACTGAACACACCTTGTTGAAGTATTCAATCAAACCTTGGATACAAGCCAGAATGCACTCAGCGAGACAAAGGAGTATTCCATCATCCTGAGACCGGGCGGTATTGGCCAACGCTCGCAAGGCTTGGATAATGGCCACCAATAGCGACCCAAAACAAATCGAACCAAAACTGGTGGTCAAGGATCGCTTCAAGCTATCCCAGATGGCCGAGGAACAACAAGAACTGGCTTCATCTGGCGCAATCCACCAAGTAGCAACCACACCAGCAATGGTAACGTGGATTGTGTTCTAATAGATAGATGGAAACGTTTGTGGTTCAAGAATGAGAGAATGCAAGAGACAGCCATCCTAGCATGACAGGGAGACATACCTGAAAGACTTGATGACCGAAGAAGTATGCCAAGAACAGGAGAAACAGATATCCATACCCTGAACCTGAAACAGTACAACCGGTTCTAGTTTCGTAGTTAGTACACGTGTAGGCAGAATCGAAAACTCCCAGCATGGCAATGGCCCAGATAAAGGACCAGAAACAAGCAATGATGGCTATTTAGAAGAAAAAGGAGATGTTAGCAACGCTGATAATAGTTCCAATTGGTCGTCCCAGCTTGATGTATAACTCACTAAAGATATAAGCAGCAACCGTGATTCCGCAGTTGGCCTTGACAGCTGTAATGGCTGTGACGAGATTGATGGTCGCAAATGGGATTCTCGACCATACGCAATACGCGTAACAGCAGGTCAACAGGAAGAATAGAACTCCCAATATGGCTGCAAACCAATTCGAATTCAGGAATGCCACAACCATCACGAATGCCGACATGATCACAGTGAAAATGAGTGATGCCTTGATGAGGGTTTCCGGAATACACATCATGACTTGGAGTCCGAGGCCGGACAGGATCAACCCCACCACACCACCAAGAAGGGCAGAATAATAGTATCCTTGATATTCTTCAGAAAAGTATTGACTGTTCAAGGCACCTTCGCCGCGGAGGATGGCCACTGCTACAATCGCAATGATGTCAATGTAAAAGAGTGGAGCAAATAGGGGATCTTGACATTTTGCCTGTTGCTCATGGTGCTGGACATTGGTAGCACTGCCATAGTTCACTTCTTGGCCTTGGACCACCACAGGTTCTGCCATCTTGCTTTAAAGCGCTTCGCAGAGTTGAATGATAACTTGTTTGTTTGTTGTAGGTTAGTTACTTTGTTGCAGTATTAGGGCGTTTATGGGATCTCAAGGACCTGGTGAAAGTTGGAAATAATGATACCCTTGGTGCCAGATAGATAATAATACCCAGCGGTGTCTTGAACGGTTCTGTATCGTGCTTGCTATAGTCTTTTGCTGACAGGCCAGGCTAGCTAGTACTACAAGTAGCTATGTTTGGTTGCCCCCTTGATCAAGCTGCCTCAATCAATCGGAATGGTCTTTCCTGCTTGTTATCTTCTTTGCCCTCCCTCCGGCTGCTGCCGGGAGACACGTCCAAAAGATTTTTGCTGGATTTTCAAACGCATCTTGTCGCGATTCCCGCAAGCCAGCGAAATAAGTGTAACTGCCGCTCAGCCCGGGTGGAGCTACGGGACCAGTTCAACGTACTTCCGACCGCTACCGACGGGCACTGTTCGGAACAGCTCATGCTGTTGTAACGGTACCGGTACCAGTGACAACCGTGGGCCATACCTTCTCCATCCGGCTACCGGTAGCTAGATCATGCAAGCTTCTATGCATATGTCCTTGCAAGCTGCAGAGGAGGGATTTGAGTTTGAATGGATGATTCATTCAATCGTTCTCAGCCGAGATTGCAAGCGAAAGAGGTGCGGACGTTCGAGAGCATGGCGTATGCTTGTCCTGCAGCCTCAGTGTTAATTTTATTAATCGTCGTTGAATCATTGAAAGGCAACATGAAGTTTCATGGCATTTTGCATGGCATCATCCGTTAGCTATTGTCTCCTGCGGCTTCCTTGTGTTGGCTGCTTACTTGGGCCCAGAGTCAAGTCAATAACAGAATGACCGAGTCAGTGACACTGCGTGGGCCACTGCTACAAATGCTGCATGTTCGATGATCAATCGGATTCGATTCATCCCTCCTTCTTAGTTCCTACCGCTACGAGGTACCGGTATTGTACTGTAGTTTTTTTGGGTAGCCGTCTGGGTAGCCCCAGTCTATCTAGTCTCCACGCGGAGCGCCCGCCAAGCCAGGATGTCCAAGGACAGTTTTAAGTTTATTGAAAAACATAGCGCAACAAAAGATCCAACAAGATACCACCAATGACGACTTGCCGAGTACTGTACCGGTACCGGGTACGATCTCTCGACACCCCCAGAAAACAAACCACGGTCACAGTGACAACCTAGCCTAGCTAAGGCGAATCGAATAAATCTGCTACGACGACAAAAGCAGACACACACGATGGCAACGAACAACAGCAACGGCGACTCTGCTGCCATTGTCTTTGGCTATCAGTACCAAGATGGACTGTTCCTACGCAAGTACATGCTTATGATTTGAAATATGAGCATGAGGCGCAGAAGAAAATTCGTTTGTTGGAGATGGAAATAAAAGATAGCGAAGAGCATGCTGCTGTGGTTGAGGCCGGCACAACGGGTTACTTCTTCGGGGACGGTTCCGAAGGACTGAGCGCCGGGAATGAGGAGGGACCCGTTGCCTACGATATCGAGTATGAGCTCAAGATGCAAAGCGAAATTGTCTGGAAAGGAATGGCCACTTGACCGAAAGGAAATGGATGTTCACTGGTGTCAACGGCGAGGTCATCGGTGCCCCTGTTGAGATTAGCCTCGAGCGTCCTCTAATTGTTCACACAACAAAACGAGCCAGCACACCAGGAGACCTCTCTTATTATGCACACGAAGAGCACCCCTTCATTGCTTTTGTTCACCTTTTGAAGTCTGCCCATGTGGGGTCTACAGTATTTATCACCATGCCGTTATGTGCTTGACGAACTTTGTCATTACGCCGCGACACAGGAAGAGGGAGGAAGGAACTTGACAATTAAAGCTATTGTCGGACACTGCCGAGATGTATTGAATACAATCAATTCATTCATCGGCGTCTCTGTAGAGCGCCAAGCTGCAATCGATCGGTTGCAACTCCATTATCAGGCCCCGGGTTGTCCCTTTATTCACACGAAGGGAATGGTGTCAACAGCTGGATGCATGGTGGGATCCTACAATTTTACAACGGCAGCACGCGAGAAAAACATTGAGCAAGGAGTTCTTTTTGCGGCTGGAGCACAGAGCGAAAAAGTGCGAATCCAGCTTGAGGCTCAGTGGTTAGCGTGCCCTGCAATACAGAAATGCACTTCCAGTCAACAGTAGCGGAAAGTAAATGATTTAATTTAGCCCAAAATGGCATGGCGAACCCTTGAACCTGTGCCACATTGTAGTCGTGGTAGTCGGTGACACAACAACACTGCATGACACCATGACCACAATACACTTTTCCGATTCTGTTGCTTTATCAATAATTACTGAAGGCGAGGACTAAGATGAGCACCGCCGCATTAACGATTTGCGCGATCCCTCGAAGCAGGCACCCAGGACAAAACATTCGCATACCAACAAGCAGAGCCCTTCTCAAATACAGAGTCGAGTCTCGGTCGACGGATTTGTGGCGTGGCGTGGAAGGTTAAAATCAGTAGGGGTAGGGCTTTTGAAGCCAGAACCCAATGCAGCAGGCCACAACCAATTCACTCACAGGATTGTTGCCACCCACATTGCTTCGAAGGACACCTTTCCCTCTGTCTCTCGGTCTCTCCCTCTCTCCTTTCATCTACAGAATCTTGGCTACTTGTACCGTAGCTAGAATATTGTTTTGTTGTCTACCGTATCCATTGATTTGATTTGATTTGATTGAATTCACAATGGCACCGACTCGGTCCCACGCTCGTGGCCAGCCACAACCCCAGCCTTCCCCTGGTATTGGAGGAGACTCGTATATCCACCAGGACCATCCCAGTTACAGTGTGGACTATCAAGAAGTTGCCGCAGCGCACAACAATCGAGCAGAAGTCTCCATGATGATGACGGATCCATTCCCTGGCGAAGAAGAGCCGATCCCTGTGGTGGAGCACTCGTATCGAGTGGAGACGGTCAATGAGAGTGTCGACGAAGGTCCTTTTACCGACAAGCGGGAAGGCAGTCCTCCTCTTCGCGAAACCATTTCCAATCGACAGCGACCTACTAGCAATTTCCGGTCCACACCACAGTCCTCCAATACCAGTCGCTTTCTTCGTCGCAAAATTAATACTTCTACGACCGTGGAAGAAGTCACGCAACCACCCAAATCTCCTCGTGACGGAATTTTCACTACCGATTTCAAAGAATTACACGACAAGACCATCAAGCGCCGACAAAATCAGCAAAAGCACATGATGTCGCTTGAACGACGATTGGCACTCATGCAAGCCAACTTGGCCAATATCAGCATGGATCGAGACCTACAAAATTGCAGTCACCTACAAACTCATATTAGCGAACCCATGACACAAGCGGCCGAACGATTGGCCGTGGAACAAGAGACGCGATTTTCACCGGCTTCTCTCGGATCCAAACATTGGATGCAACTGCAAACACGCTTGTCGCAAATTGAATCCGATGTCGCGCGGCAAATTCACGTCGTGGCGCCGCAATCCATTCGCGAACATTTGGATGCACCCTACAATACCTTGACACAGGAAATCACGCCCCAAGTGTATGCCGAAACGAACAAATCGGAGAAACGAGAAGGCGTCATGTTTCGATCCTTTGAAGATGTGGCCGGAACGGCACGACGACGCTATCACGAAGAACGAGCATCCCGTCATGGTGCTTTTGAGGTGGTGCGGCAAAAATTGGAACAAGAAGCCAAGATGCAGAGTGATCCACAACGCATTGAAGATGCCATTGCCAAGGTACGCGTCTTGCGAGCCAAATTGGAACAAGAACGAGTCGAACGACGCATGCGGGATGAACATTTGAAAACGGCCATTGAACAGGAAGTCATTAGTATGCGTAGGGCCATGTTGGAAGCGACCGGTGGAGATGATATCATTGTGGAACACCAGCAGCAGCAGCAAGATACGAGCCGGGCCATTATGTATCGTTGAGGAGCACGGTGAATTGCCATGAAGGCTTGTTGGATTGGCTGGCTGGAGACATTTTCCTAGTATATGCCGCGTCTAAACCACCAGGTTCGACGCCAGGTATCTATAGGACAAACTAAATAAGCAAGGTTGCGCCCAGCTAAGGTTTAACGCCTTCTTGGGGATCCAACTTTTCTGGGACCCTCTGGCCGACTTGGTTGTGCAGCGTATGTACTTTGTAGACAAAGAAATGTAGTGTCAATAGGCTCATCTTTCGTTGTTTTCGCCATACATGGGATTCAAGACTTAGAAAGCACCAGACGTGGCTGCCTCAAGGTCGTTCGTGAGCAAGACATCATAGACGCAAGCCTCCAGCGCTTCCTTGACGGAGAAGAGCTCAGAGCAAGCCTTTGTTGCTGCCTCAACAGAAATGGCTGATTCGCTGAGGTGGCGGTCAACAGCAGCTTGTTTGGGAAGGACGCAACGGGCTGGCCATTCAACTTCCGATTTGGTCTGGAAGAGATCAGGGTCAACTCCAGGGCGCACCTGCCATTCCGCTCCAAATAGATTATCATCCAACATGATTTCGCCAGATCGAGAGTATCGAGTGCCATTGTACGCACCAAGGATTCCAACTGCATCATGGAAATGACTTTCATCGCCCCCCGAGAACAGAACGCTTACCAGGTCTTTGTGGGCCTTGACTGTGATGAAATTTCCTTCTGCAATCTCAATGTCAAATCTCACATTCTGGCTGTCCATAATATTACGTGTGACTTTGAACTTCCCACCCATCAGACCCAGGTCTCCATCAACAACGCCATTGAACATGTAGAACCCATATTCTCCAACTTCGAGGACATCATCACCAATCTTTAGAGAGATTAGGTTAGTGGGGTTGAAGATCAGCTTTTCAGCAGTATGAATCCTTTCACTTACCTTGATAGCGGCCGCTTCAATGTAACTATAGCTGTACCTGTGTTTTGTACGAATGTGGGCAGCAAAGCCAAGTCCATCCTCCCATGTACTACTTTCGGTCAGGACAAGATCACAAGCTCCATGGAAATCAAAGTATTCTCCACCAAAGGTCTCAAAGTGCTGATTTGCAGCTGGAAGTGAGGAATGCCTGAAATTTCCTTGGTGGCGACAGATAGACTACTAGCTAGTACCTCACTTACCGGATCTCCCCATGAACCCCAAGTGTATTCTCGTGACAGGCAAGGTTTTCCATCATGGTCATTTTCGTAGTCAACTGTCCTCAATGTATATGAATCAGGTAGATCTTGTTTATTGGCTTCATAGGCGAGGCACGACAGTGAGTTGCGGGCGAGCTTAGGGCCGCGCAACAATGTTTGGCCTTCAAGGTCGCCATGTGTTGGTCCGAGAGTTGTTCCCTTGGAGATAACGGAGTAAATCTTGCTGTTACCATCAGCTATTGCAGGTCCACCGGACGCACCCTGGGTCAGATCGCAAGGGACGACCCCATATTGACTGAGACCAGCAAGAAAACTCGTGCTACCCGCGCAATACTTTTGGTGGGGGTCGTTCACCCCTGGGTTCCCCACCCAGTAGGTAGGACGTATTTCGTTGGTAAAATCAACCTCCATTGCAGGAACAGCGTTGTCAAGATCAGGATCACTGTTCTCACGTCCTTCCTCGTGGCGTCCAACATCTTCAACCACAAGGATTGCATAGTCATAATTTTGTTTGGCACGACCTGTGGCAGAAAAAAAGCGGCTGTCGATGTACGCAGCATTTGGCTTCCAGCATCCATATGGGTCATCAGAGCAGGTAGGGCGGGCATTTGGGTCAGGTCCAACCACGGTTTTGTCAGTCCCTCCATCATCCGACCCTGGCATGAACCAGACTTCACCACTGCTGTGGAGACAATGGGCAGCAGTCAAAATCAGGGATCGTCCAGGTTTGCCACACAGGATGGCAGTGCCCGTACAAAAACTCTTCGTCCCGGCACCATCGTTCATCCAAAGCCTACCGGAAGCCTTACTAACTTTACCAGGGGCAAATCCGAGAGGTGGCCAGTCATCAATCCCAATCGGTACAGGTACAGTCTGAAGGGAACGACCCCTCAAATTGCTAGTGGGCTCTGGAAGTAATTCAATAGGTTCGGAAGAGTTATCCATTGCCAAGGTCCAGTAATCAATCAGTTCCTGTGCATCATGATCCATGCCCAAGGAAGGAGCTGCCAATGTGGTGAAGCAATTGGGGAACAGTTAGAAGAGTTTTCCGTTGGAGCGGCGACTTCAGGTGGCGTCTTCAGGTCGCTTCAAACATGTCGACGTACCAAAGGTTGCAGCAATCACCGCCAACCCAAGAAGCCATTGAGAGTAGAACATATTGCATCCACTTTTCTTTGCTTTCGTCTAACTTGGAACCTACTAAAAACAAAAATGAGGGTAATCCTCACTGAGGCCACTTCTTGCCAATGCCGAATATTTCCTGCATCGTTTGGGGCATTAACGGCACAATACCTTGACACCTAACCTTGTGATCATTGCTGCAATGATACATCCCAAAGTACTATCATTGATATTGAATCCCTAATGGATTCTTTTCCTATGGGTTCAATACGTTCTGCGGGGAAGCTCGTAAAATTGGCTCGGTCACACATCTTACACTGGTTAGGTTGCGCGGTACATGAGGGGACTTCATGTACCGGTACCGGTGTAGCTACGGCTGTACCAGTGTACCGTGTACTCACTGCAGTGTACTGTACCGCTCCAGCCATACGGTGGTACTGCCAACTCCTGTCCCGAAATGCAAATGGATCTCCCCTTCAAGTTAGACGGATCAGACGATGTTTGGATGCGGTGTAAGCAGATGTTGACACCAACAACCATCGCTGGCTTGAATGCATACTAGTAAGGTGCGTGGTCAGCTTTCATTGGATCTTCCATGGATCCGGATATTTTGAGACCATCTGCACAAAAGATATTCGAACCCAGCCCTTCTGACACGTCGTGAATGAGACACCAATCCATCGACTCTCTAGTTCTTGGTTCTTTCGAGAATCTCATAGTTAGTTGTCCTTGTTGACGAATCGAATTTCCATTACAAGTTAGTGCACTCTTATTATTACCTATCTAGCCAGACACCATGAACGCCTTTCTCCGTGCCCTCCTCTTGGCCATGTTCGCCATGGCTTCTGTGAAGGCATTTGCCCCTTTGTCAACAAACGCCAAGACTGGACAGCCCGCTACCGTGATGCATTTCAAGTTCTTGAAGGATTTGGGGATGGAGAAGCCAAGCTGGTTGCCTGACTTTGGAGGAAACAAGGAAGAAGAAGAACCTGCTGCCGAGGCGGCTTCAACTGACGGGGAAGCGGCTGAAGAAGAAGCTCCTGCTGCTGCCGAAGAGTAAGGGTAGAAAGGATCGAATCATCTCTCCCAAGAGGTGAAAAGAAATCTTTCACTGCATGCCCAGAAATGCTTTGCGTAGGAGGACGCCAAATGGATTGGTTGAGGGACCAAGAAATTGCCAAATGCGGGTCCCAATCTCAACTGTCAAAACCAGAGCAACAAGAACGACAACAAAAACAAGGCACAGCACAGATTAATCAGCCATTTAGTAACACTTGAGAACTGTTGACAACTTTAAATGCATACATGTACTTGCCTTTGCATACCTCAGTTGGGAAACATAGCTTTTGGCCCTGGGCGCTACGCCAAGCGAAATCCGAGCAGACCACGCTTCCACTCTTGCTTTGCAACCTGCCGTCGAAAAAGCAAATGCCGTTGGTGGCTTTCGTGCCCCTAATCTATGGGGTGGTTGTTGTATTTTGATGGTCTCGCGATGGAGCATTTGAAGAGAATTTTATTGACTTGCTTTGCACCAGGTAAAAAATTTGTGCATAAAAGCTAATCAAAGGTAAAAAATGCAAGCATCAGTTAGTTGTTCTATCGGTACAGCGCATCCACAAAATCATCCGATTTCCATTGCCAGCGCCTGTACCGGTACGGTAGCTGGTAGGAATAGTCTGTGGGTGGGAATATCCTTACCTCGATTTTAAAAAGGCCGGATTGAATGATTCGATTCAATCATTCGTAGCTCATTTTTTATGAAAGGAAAATGCAATTTGTCCTGAACTAATACGACTGTACAAGTCCGAAGCTACAAATCACGCAGCTCATCAAATTTGGGACCCCCCCTGGCATCCAAAACATGGATTGTGTAATTTTCGGTTTGTGGCGCTGTAACACACAGCCACCACAATTGCACTGCAATACAGAATCAGGGCGCCGCAGCCTTCTAAGCAAATCATAATACCGATTTTCATTGACTCCAATACTCAGCCATTTTCCTATTTTCTAATATACAATCTTGCAATCGAATAGGGCGCGGTATCAGGACAATACAGCCTCAATTGTCCTTCAAAGGTAAATCCATCCTGTTCATCCAACAGACCATCAATAATGACAAGCCGCGCTTTGGGTGGCAGCGCCGAAATTCCCCCGTGACCTAATGCCTGCGATAACTGCGGCAGTCGTCGTTTGGGTTCTCCTCGCGACCATGTCGTGGCAAAACAAAGTGCCAATGTGGTTTCGTGTAGAATTTGTTGCAGATCGGGTGTTGGATGAAAAATATCTCCCAGAAACAGCTCCGTTCGACACAAAGGCAAATTGGCAGCTGTGGCGTGTTCTTCTGCCTCCGCCACAAATGATTGTGCTCGTTCGTGCAACGTGGGTAGAATTTCCACTCCCCTGGAAACTTCTAAATTCTCCGCCAGCAGCATGGACGCCCCAGCTACCAGCATGCCATCTCCCGACCCAATATCCAACAATCGATCACCCTCTTGATTGACTCCCACGGCATTTAAGAGCGTAATGAGAGCACCGAGACCCAATTCCCCATAGACGGTCATGTGGTTTGGCATTTCCAAATCAAGACCATCGGTCTGTGATACCTCAATGGCTTGACTGCGTCGATCATTCCAGGTGGTAGCATCATTATCCCCACTGGTACCAGCATGGATGCCACCATACACTCGATTCAATATCTCTTGAGTGCTTTGCTGCCGTTCCAACGAGATTTCGGGAGCCAACAAGCCATTCACAACAGCCAACAATGCCAGGACAAACCAGGCGGAAGAAGCAACTTTCCCAGCACCAGGTGGCATGTAAAATAAATATTCTTTCCTTTCCAGCTCTGTTTGTTCTTCCTTTCTTCCACGAGGCAATTTCAATCCCTCTGAGGCCCTAGCTAGCTAGCTAGTGGACTTCTTTTGATTGGTTATCACCAGCAAACAGTCACTGGCTACCCACCAACTGGCTAGCTATAGTACTTTCAACATGTAGTAATCGTATTGACAATTCTTGCTGACTGTTGTTCTTTGATGGGTGGCAGAAGTCGGCGCCTTCTGGAGCAAATCCGTGATGTTTGCGATCTTGCAAAAGATCTCGGTTCGCTTCTCATGATGGGAACCCCACGAGGTTGTGACCACAGATGTCCAAGGGGTATCTTTTCATTAGAGCGTCCTAACCCAGATATTGGTAGGGTATCCAAGTGCAGTGCAGTACATACTGGCATGTATTCGAAAGAGTGTAAGTAAGACTAATCAGAGACACGTTAATGGGAAACAATCAGCTTCCACGTGGAGCTCAATTACCCCGAGACGATCGTCAGCGGCCAGCTGGAAAAGACGCACAGAGAACACTCCTGCTTGACAGCTTGTGACTTGTGATGGCCTCCCCGCGGCCGAGCCGATAAAAACAATTCTACGAATCCATCACAATCTTTAGCTAATTAAAAAATCCAAACCTCGTTTCACTTGACATCAAACAAGGACAATCCCAAATCAAACTCTTATAGCAACCAAGATGTTCCGCCTTTTCGCCATTGCTCTTCTCCTTGCTGCGGCTAACGCCTTTGCTCCGTCCCTTCCTGCCTTCAAGACCAGCGCTGTGAGTATAATGCCATGAGAACTGCAAACCATGATTTTTGGGTATCAATGACGCATGTTGGCATTTTTATTATGCTATCCTCTCACTGTGGCGATTGCTTTATTTTATTGTTTTTAGCCCGCTGTCTCGTCTTCGGCTCGCTTTATTATCCTCAGTGATTCCGAGACCGACGCCATCCTCAAGGTGGCTTCCGAATGCGCCGAGGGAGAATGCTCCATCGATGAAGTGGCTGGATTGGTCGGCGACCTCAAGGAACAACAACAAATTTTGGAACGTCGCATGTCCAAGATTATGACCATGATTGCACACCTCGAACACGTCAACGAAAAGGAAGACCGCCAGACAGACGAAGTTCGTCAATTTGTCAAGGATATGCTTCGTGTCTTTGCTCATGAGGTACGTACCGTATAGTACGCAAGCAAAAGCAAGCAACAAAATCGGATATCTAGCTTTTAGGTTCATGGGTTGCAGCACCTCGTTTTTGAATTTACTGATATCTCACCATTCATTTATTCTTTTACTATTAATATAACAGAAAGCCACCATCCCCGCTACTGGATTCAGCGGTGAAATTGGAGATGGTCCCACCACTGCATACGATGCCCTCCCACCCAAGAAGTGGAAGGCATCTCCTTAATAAGAAGATCTCGTGTTACCACGACGCAATCCTGCCAAAAATCGGATGCGACTAATTTCTAGGTGGGGTGCAGGGAAGAAATCAAACCATCCAACGCTTCATCATGAAATTCAAATCATTCGTTCATTCCACCATCACACCCCCACCAAACAACACTTTTTAGGGCAATCGTATCAGCTAGTTCAGTAGAAAGATGGAATAACAACTACTAAGATACTTGCACGAGAATACAGCATTTCTTTGGTCTGCTGATCCAGCCATTATCGTAACAACCACACCAGGAGGAAATGTATGCATTGTGCCATTGCCTGCAGGAACTCGTCAACTGGCTGTGGTACTGTAGTCAAGGAAAAGCAACAGTTGTGTCTCCCAGGCTTCACATCTCAAATTGGAGCAAAACAGTAGCAGCTACCATACCACAACATGAGTAGTACGGGCGTGGCTGGACTTTGCTTGATGCTAGTACGTTCTGGTGCTTCCTTCGTTGGCTGTCCCTGGAAAAAGTCATATAGTTAGTATGGGTAGTCTATTCCCAGCAATCGCAGATTATTCGAGGAGTCGCGATGCTGAGCTCTGTTTATCGTGTATCATGCTCGACTCCAAGTGCTATTTATCGTACTGTACCCTCCACTGATCGCCTTGCATTGCGCTCTTTGAGCTTGAAAGGAAAGGTTGGCTGCTCTCATGCAGTGGCTGGTTCATACCTACAGTTAGTTGCCCAGACCTGTTTCCGCCAGTCTCAATCATCCTGCAGATACTAACACAGTTCTTCCCAGTCAAAGCAAAGTAGAAAGAAGTCACCGACCGATTGTCAAAGCAAAGGGGTGACTACTCGTCTCCTCAACCAACCAACCTGGAGGGGAGCCATTTAAATAAACAGAAAGGGCTGATTGGTTGGGGCATGGCTACCGTATTGTGGTCTATCATGCTATGTTGTCCAATGTGTGTGCGGTGGGACTTGAGAGAAGTGTGTATGGTTTCGTGCTAGTAGCAGAGAGTTATCTAATACTTATTCTTATATCAAAATAGCTGTCCTGCTCTTTGGTGGGCGGGTGATTTCTGTGATTGTTTCGTTTCGATTCGCGGCACCAATGTCAAGATTGTTGTCGTGTTTCTTTGTGTGTTTGTTATTTGCTTTACTTTGATGCCTTCCACTTCTTGGGTGGGAGGGCATCATAGGCAGTCTTGGGTCCATCTCCAATTTCTCCAGACCATCCGGTGGGCTTGGACAAGGAGGGGTAGTCATTGCCACTGGCCTTGTCTCCTAGTTGGAAGATGCGGTAAATGGCACGAACGGTTTCTCGGACCTCATCGACCTCACGTGCGTCCTTTTCGTTGACGTGTTCGAGTGTGTAAATGGTCTCCTTGAGTGTCTGGACGCGGCTGTAGAGTTCCTTTTGTTGTCCCTTCAAGATGGAGAGGAGCTCTGAGACTTCGTCGACGGAGCATTCACCCTCGGAGCAGTCTTCTGCCTTGGACAAGACAGAATCGACATCGTCTGGGGCCATCAAGGAGAGTGGGGTCAACTTGGGAGCCTGCATTATTGAGTCGACGAGCAAAGAGTATAGTTATTAGAAGATACCCACAACGATTTCAATGCCCCATCACGAAAAGGTATCTTTTATCCACAGCCATAATTGCAACAAGAAAACCTATGATGTTGAATCGAGTGACAGTCAGATTATCTTACCGTCTGAGCCTGTGGAAGGACAGTGAAAGCACTGGCAGATGCCAAGAAAGAAAGAAGCAAGTAGGCAAACTTCATGGTGGAAAAAGAGAAGACAAAACTGTTGTGTGGGTTGATGTTTGCAAATCTTTTGATTTTATGACATGATTTTTGGAGCAGCGGGCTTTGTCTTTCTCGGTTTGCGATCCCTTCTTCGGTTCCCATCTTGCCATCACCAAGCAACCAAAGAAAGACAGGATCTTGGGCAAGCAGGCCACTTACGATCGGGTTGTTCTCTGCAGCTTGCAAACGAAGTGCGTAGAAGATTCCAATGTAATCCCGCTGAGCTGTTTTAACATTTCTGTGGTCGCATTGGGAGTCGAGTCAAAGTCGACAGCCAACAACACACCACCCTTGTCCCTCGTCATCTTGTCATCCCCCTCATCACTTCTCTTTGTTTGTCGTTATTGTTATTGTGATTGTCCCACTCTCTGTCATCAGATAGATAGATTGTGTAATTAAACCATGCCTGAAGCCTCTGATTCCAACTACGCTGCCGCTACCCGTCTTCGACGTCCCTTTTCGACGGCCGGTCGTCCACCCGCATTGGAGGTAGTGGACGATGAGTGGGCCGCGGACAAGTTGAGCGATGACGAAGTCGAAGTGGGACGACACGAAGCCGCCGTGGCTCCCCTCTTGGAAGAAGGAGAATTGGATGCCGATGCTATTGTCTCTCCGGCTGGCAATTCCTCTTCGGCCGTCACGGCTGCCGAACGACGACGACGAGAAGAAGGATGGAGTGATTTGTCATTGGAAAGTCTGGATATTAGTGGGACCGCCAATGCCACCGCTCGGCCCAATCGAAATCCAGGGCAGTCCTAACTAAGGAGATGATGACGCTAATTGATACCTCCAGTCCGTTTTGTACCGTACAAAGAGACGACAATCTGCAATCATTATTGGTCGGGTACTAGTTTCTTTTAGTTGCGACGCCCAGGATAGGTTCTGATAATACTGGCTACCCATGGGAAATCCATCAGCACGGTAGTCGGCAAATAGTAAGAGAACGATAATCTCTTTTCTTTAAATTGGTTTGCAGCCAACAAAATTTATCATTTATTTATCACTGATTTACCGGAAGCTATCCCAGAACTCTCGTATTATTAAATTTTTTGCAGCCGTGATTCTACGAGGTCAGTGGCAGTGGAATGCCCCAATCAGCAACACCTACCTGCTCTACCGGTACCTGGTATCAGGGTCGATAATATCCTTTTATGCAGAATCGAATCTGATGACATCCAACAGCCAACATGACAGTACGGTGCTGGTAGATCTACTTCCCAAGAATGTAGATTTAGTTATTGTCCACTGAATCGGAGAGGTTCTCTCCGTAGTCTCTACTGCTACTTCTTCAAATTGATCTGATCACATTTTGTGTTCCTTCCTTGTTGGATCATTTCCTCGAATAGAATACGGTATTCTCAACGGTACCACATCGACACGGTACGGTAAGACAAGGTCCTACCACACATCGCCTGCATCGAAATCACCATCGTCAAAATCAAATCCTCCTTCATCAAAGATGTCTTCGCCATTGAGGGTATCATTGTCGTCTCCAAAGGCATCGAGGGGTACTTCCACTCCATCATCCCCGTCCAGATCATCATCGTCGTCCAATCCTAGATCCAAATCGTCGTCCGCATCGACATTGATTGTTGCCGTGACGTCTCCGTCATCACTCAGTAAATCCAAGGTGGTACCAGTATCCTCTTCCTCGGCGTCATCATCCGCCGCAACGCTCTTGCTGCCACTACTGTCCGTATCATCCTCCATCTCCACATCGGCATCCAATCCCAAATCCAACAAGAAACTATCCAAATCGTCGTCCATGCTGCTGCTACCCGTGTCTTCTTCCACTTCAGTACTTTCCTGCTCCTCCTCACTTTCTGCCTTGGGTCTCACAGCTTCCGCCGTCATGGCATCGACCACGGCTGATCCAATGGATCCATACATACCATCTCCCAACTCGATATTGTCCGTGTTGGGAGGATCGTCCTCATCGTCGTCATCGGTAATGACCCAAGAATCCCGTTTTTTCTCGGCCGCTTCCTTTTCTTGCCGATCGCGGATACCCTGTCGCACACCCGCTCGCATGGCGGCTTCCATTTCCGGTGTGGCCCAACGTCCTTGCTGTTCAATGAATTCTTCCATTTCCAGAGCGGCTTCGTGGGGAGGATCCCATTTGTGATGCCATTCAATCTGTTGAAAGTGAGGCCAGGGAACCGGATCGGGATCGCTATCGGCAATGGGCAAATCGGAAAAGGGCATGTTTTCGGGAGTAGTGCCGGGACGCATGGTGCCCGGATATTCCATCATTGGATCGTACGTGGAGGGTAACATGGATTCTTCGTCTTCGGGACGGTGATATCCCGATCCGGGAGGTGCATAAATCATGAATAAACCAGGAGCAGTGGATTGCCGATTCTGAAAAGTAGGGGGAGTGGTGGGTGCATAGTACATGTAGTTCCAACGCTGTAATGTGAAGGATTCTGAGGATGTCAATAAGACAAATCCACAAATATAGTGAAGCATGCACGGTATTCTGTTGTTCTGTTGGGAGGACATCATGATGGCGGATACCTTCTGGATCGATGGGTTAATTAATCCGGCTCCAAGGAATGGGTAGAGGAATCTCTTTCAAAACAGAATGGGTAGCCAGCTAGCTAGTGTGGAACCTTTGCTGGATCTTCTCTAATTTCCTTTTCGAATAGTTTTGGATGAACCCCATGCAGATCAAAGACAAGCGCAGAAGGATTGTGATGGCTCGGATGATGGTGGATGGTGGAGGCCTGATGGCCACTGATGTCAGAAACGTATCCTGAACCTTAGTTCTTTTCACGATGATTTTTCCACGGAACGAGCCACTCCACGCTCTTTGCTGAACACGCTGCGAAGCTGTCGCCAACTTGGTTGGTTTCACGCTGCGTTCCGCGAGAATAGCACACAACTCCTCCGCTGCCCACAAGTAAGTTCCTGACGTGCAGAGCCATTTCTATCTCTTCCATTCAGTTCCCTTCCACCATGTCATCATATGATGGATCAGCAAAGAAAATCAAATTGGCCGCTAGTCTTTCGATATTGGACCAAGAAGATATTTGATCAACAACATCCTTCCCTTTCTGGGCATGGGACAATATGTCTTTGTTGCAGGTGTCAACAAGAAAATCAAAGAGCTTTATGAAAAGTACTGTGACACTGTGGAAGATCCTCCAAAGGTGCGGTTGGTTTCAGATGGTTGGAATGACAAAGTGCAACCAGCAACCAGCACAGTCACATTCTACAGCGCAGGCAGCCTTTTCTAATGTGTCATGTGCTGAATACTGGGAAAATAACAAATCCAAGGCTAAGAGGTGTTCTAGTGCTGCTCTAGGTGGGCACTTAGAGATACTCAAATATGCCAGAGTGAATGACTGTCCTTGGAAAGATTTAACATGTGCTAGTGCTGCTGGAAAAGGGCACTTGGAAATATTGAAATGGGCCAGAGAAAATGCATGCCCTTGGAATGAATCAACCTGTGCTAGTTCTGCTGGAAAAGGGCACATGGAAATATTGGAATGGGCCAGAGAGAATGGGTGCCCCTGGAATGCTGATGTGTGCACAAGGGCTGCTCAGAATGGGAATCTGGAGATGTTAAAATGGGCCAGAGAACATGGATGTCCGTGGAATGAAGAAACAAGCACTCAAGCTAACAATCGTGCGCTCTGGACTGGAAATAAAGATGTTCTGCGGTGGGTTTGTGACAATGGATGCCCAGGATCCCAGTGGTGGTAACACCAGTGCCGATTGTGGAATCTGCATGATTAGTTGGTTTATTTGGTTCAGGTGATAGTAAAATAATCTTAGTCTTCCCATTCTAATATCAGCTTGCAATCCTAGCAAAAGCCTACCGTAGCCAGATGGAGATCAGCAAAAGTAATTACGGAAAACCGACGTGGTGAATTGTTACGTCGAACTCTCGTGTCAGGAAACTCGTCACCGTTTCTCCCAACATGTTGCAGCAATGCGACGATCTAGCTGGTTCCAAAGTTGTGCAGAGCAAAGCTGGTGCACAGAGCGGTCGCAAACACGGCAATTCCAAGTGCATGGCTCACCAAACACGGATGAGGGATCAAGCCGAGATGAGCAAGGGGAAATAAATCCGCCTTATCTACCTTGTAGCCACAACCCACAAATCCTTCCTTTTCTTGAATTCCCAGCAAGATTGTTGCGGCTACGGCCATGTGCAGAAATGGTCCCAAATATGCGTGAACGGCCAAAATTTTGGCTTTGGTGACGGCCGAGAACTGCGGAACATTCCACCAAAAGGCAAAAAATCCCGCGAGAAATTGTAGTACGTAGAGCCCCACAACTCCCAGTCCGAGCCAGGAATGAAAGCTGTAGAGGTTGGCAATGAATCCACTCTTAGCATCATTGTGGGACCGGAAAACAGCAATCAGGGCAATGCAGCCAAAAATGGCGGCCACTGCCCAGGAAGATCCGTGTACCAGCTTGACAATTCTTCGACTGGAGCTTTGGTAGGGAAATCGAAAGGATAATGCTGCGACTGTCATAAAAGCATATGCCAGAATCATTAATAGTGGATGCCATAAGAAGACCTGTTTGGCTTTTCCAGCGCTCCAGGCCAAGCCACCCAAGAGGTGCACCCACCACAGGACCAATAGAGACATTATGAGAGCGAGTGCATGTGCCAACAAGGACGCCATGGTTTGCCATCGTGCCAGTTCCTGCCTCCACTCGCGCAGAGCTCGGTCGACATTCGGGGTACCAAATTCTTCCGATTCTGGATCTTCTTGTTCCTGGTCTGTTAGAGGCAACCCTTCTGTATCCTGAGCGCCAGAGCCCCCATTGCCACTGCCGTAGCTCGAATGATTGCTGTCGTTGGGTGGAGCGGAACTCATCTCGATATGGGCTCTTCTTTGCGTGCCTTCTCCTTGGTAATGGTAGGAGAAGGCTTCTCGCTTTCGGATTTCGGATCCTTTTCGGGCGCTGTGAGCTCTGACCCCCATTTGGAAAGGGGGGATCAACGGGGGCTGTCCAGTCGACGCACTGAGTCACGGTTCGTATTGGCACTCATGATACACGACTGAGTGCCATGACTGAGTGACTTAGTCAGTCGAGTCGATGACAGTCGAGTCTTGGAAGGAGCTGCGTTCCCACGCCGGAGGGACAGTACGTACCGGTACAGTGGCACCGTACAGTACTACTAGTACGTGCCAAGGACGCTCAAACTCTTGTGTCTTTTCTAACACGTAACCTTTGCTATCGTTCAAATGGTTCTGTTGTGCAGACCCCCCGTTGGTTATGCTCAAGCTAGACGAAGGATGCGAGCTCTGGCTCAGCCGTCAACAGTCTAGCTTATGTGTCTTTTCTGATGTATAGCAATTCTGTATTATCTATTCTAGCATTAGCCTATCGTTCAAATGGTTCCGTTGTACAGGCCCCCGTTGGTCCTCATGTCGGTTTCTTGCACTATCGGCGCTTTGCGCGGTGGACGTTGTAATGGCACAAGTAGTTGTCCTCTTCGCCGTAGAATTTGAATTCGACCTGGGTCTGCTTGAGGACCATTGCAACATAGCAGAACATAGACTTTAATGTCGCGATCGTCTCTTCATCACTCATCCCATCATGAGACGCATTCAGTTCACCCTGGACTTTTACGGCAGGGCCACCTTCACAGAGCTGCTCGGTAGTATGTGCCACCATGATACCCACATAGGGCTTCTTTTGAGCCATGCGACCCATGGCCCATTTCTTCCACACACAGAGAATTGCATCGCGGTCGTAGGCTTTCTTCTTGCCGTCATTGCCCACTTGATGCACAAGACACATGTACCCGCTAAAACGGCGGCGGACAGACAGTTTTCGTGGTGGCATACCCTCCAGCGGATCCGCCCCAACATCTCCTTCCAGTGGAGTTTTAACACCCCTTCCTGGCGAATCAGGCACCGATAGAATAGATCCAGCTTTGTTGTTGCCATCGTGGATTGTTTCCTCATTGGCTGCTTGTTCTTCTTGTTCTTCTTGTTTTCGTTCTTCTTCGTGGATGATCCTAGCGGCGGCAGGAGGATCCCTGCCTCTTTGGTTTACTTGAAGATTTGATAAATCTCGGACGAGTTGAGCTGAAACAACCGGTGGATCCATGCGACGCATGTTTGTTTATTGCAGTTAGTTTTGGTCGTTGAATTGAGAAAGGTTTTTGTGGAGTTGTTCTGTTGCTGCGGTGCCGTTCATCACAACGAGACGCCATCCGAATCATTCGCATCCCACGCCATTCAGTCGAGGCACGTCTGTGTCGGCACGCCGATGCTGGTACTGAGGTGTATCTACCGGTACCGGTAGTGTGCACTGTGCACTGTGCACAACGCTATTATGGCAAAATTATGCAATAAAATACTAGTATACACGGCTGGAAAAAGGTCATTCAACCCAACGAATCGAATGAATCGAATCTCAATCAAATCGAATAGAATCAGAATAGCTAGAGAATCATGAATCGAATCGAATAGAATACTAGAATGATCATTCGATTCAATCATCAGAAGAATCATGAATCGAATCGAATTGAATCGAATTGAATCGAATCAATCGAGTATTCGACTGTAAGGGTTGTACGATCTGTTTGGTACTGAGCGACCACGTCCAAAAGAACCAATGATGTCAATAGCAACCGTGTTTTTGTGTTTATGCCATAGCTATTACCGTACTGGTAGCTAGCGAGCTGGATCCTTGCGCCAACCCGATGGGGTATTTACAAGGATGACAAGTATCCCTTCAGTTTCGCAAAGCTACGGCCTCGATGGCTGATTGCATTCTTCTCCTCGTTCTCCATCTCGGCGTATGTCTTGCCGCCTCCCTCGTGGGGTTCAAAGATTGGGTCCCACCCAAAGTCGAGCTTGCCTCGGGCTGAAACGATTTTTCCATCGGTTCTTCCATCGAACACATGAATTTCCTCGCCTGGCCCCATGGTAAAAGCCGCCACCGTCTGCGCATAAGCTGACTTGTCTTCAAATCCATCCAGCATATTGTTCAGGCCAGCATGGCCGCATTTTTCCAGGAACCACTTGATGTATGGACCCGGCAACCCATTCAAGGCATTGAAGCAGAGGGAAGTGTCTTCTGTCAAGACGGGTCCATTGACCGACTGTGCCGCCAGACGACACTTTTCCTTGGCAATTTCTGCTGGGTCGTTTCCCTGAAGTTCTGGAAGGTCCACTTTGCGATTTGTCAAGGTAAATGGAATGGAATCCGCATCCGGGAGCAGCAACTGTTCTACTTCTTCCAATTTCTTCTTGTTTCCAGTCACAAAGGTGATTTGTTTTTTGCTGCTTGTGGTTGTTGACTTTGCCAAGTTGCTGGGAAGCTGCAAACATTCGGGCAGAATATCGGGAGTTGGGTAGGACGTTTGGGCACCTCGCTTTCGTACCGACATGCTGGCCACACCGCATGCCCTATTGGCAGCATCGGACAGTGGTAACCCCGCCGTCAAGTAGGTTGATAGGGCCCCGCAGAAGGCATCTCCGGCTCCAATGGTATCTTCGACCGGATCATTTTTGCAAGGCAAATCGTCCGGTGCTTCTACTTTGGTCACTTTGACTTCGTCCTCGTCGGTCTTTTCGACAATCATGGCACCTCTTGCACCTCTGCATCATCATCAGTCATTGCATATATTATCATCGTGGAAAGTCATGTGAGCAGGTACCAATACTTCGAACGCCTAGTTCTGGACGCCACTTGTTGTACTTACAGTGTCACTAAGACCTTCTTGACTCCCTTCTCCAGCAACATACGAGCCAGTTTCTCTTCATCATCCTCTGGAGTGCCTCCGGTAATTGCTTGCAATTCCGTCTCATTTGGGATGAGAATATCAATGTAGGGCAAAAAGTCATCGAGAGAGTAATCTTCCGGGGCTGGCGCAGTATTTAGAATGGTAATGGCACCTAGTTCGCGTCCCACTTTGAGTGCCTCCAAGGCCGCCTCGGGGACAATTTCCAATTGCACCAGTACAACGGCTGGTTTGGTGGATTGGTTTTCGAGTTCCCTTCGAACATCAGCAGCAGATAATAAAAAGTTGGTCCCGGGGGTGACGATAATCATATTGTCTCCACTCTTGGTATCGACCGTAATGGCTGCCACTCCCGATGATCCTTGCTCTTTGAGGACGGTCGATTCTTCATCAAAAATGACACCCGAGTTGCCTTGTACAAGATTAATAGAAAGAGGAAAAGTGAGTGAGTGATAATGAGATTCAATGCAGGGACACATATCCGTCCATGTTTGTGCTTACGAAAATTGTTCAATAGCGATTGACCAAAGACATCCTCCGCGACACGGCACACCATGGAGACGGGTACCATTCCGAGACTGGCAGCAGCCACGGCCTGATTTGCTCCCTTGCCCCCACAGGTGGTTTCAAAGGTCTTGCCCATGACGGTTTGTCCAATGACGGGGACAGCCGATGTGTAGGAAATCAAATCTTGATTGGCCGATCCGACGACCACGACTTGGCCATTTTCATGAGTATCTGCGGATGACATTTTGGCTGGAATAGTGCGATGTAATGGTATTCTGGGAAGAGTAGTGGTAGTGTGGAGAAAGGCGGATAATGTGCGTGGTATCAGCAAGCTCACAAAGATCTTGGAGGCCAGTTGTCGCGTCATTTACTAGTAATTAATCAATGATTCTGCAATAGAAAAAGTCTTGTACTTTATTGGATTTTGTGAGCACGAAAGAGATGTATCATAGATGATGGATCCCCTATAGGGGTGTCGCTTGAGGCAGGTCAAACTCTTGGAAGGTCTTGTCTCGGGAGCTCGGGGGTATCTTGAGTAACAGTTGTGTTGTTGGCGTCCGGAATAAGCTGAAGGCTGAAGCCAAAGATACCGTGGATAAAAGAAAGTTCTCGAAGGCTGACGTCACTTCCATTCAAACTTCCGCGTGGAAATGGCTGTGATCGATTCAACAAAGATGATGATGAAGGCGGAATGATGTTGAAAATGATGTGGACTGCCTCCGTCGCAGAGAAAAGAAAACACACTCTTACCTCAAAATAACCTCTGCTTAATAGTTGCAAACGCTCCCAACAAGATGAAGGGATTCACCAACCTGCTTCTTAACCTGCTACTGCTGGTCGGTTCCACCATGGCTTTCACCGTGCTCACGCCGCCATCTACCTCCAACCTCCTGGGATCCAACCAACACCAGTTTCCGGAATCAGCTACCCGACTGTACATGTCCGATCGAGAAAAAACCAAGAGTCGAAAGAAGGGACTCACCACAATCACCATTGACAAGACGGAAACTCAGGCCGAAGAACAAAAGAAAAAGGAAGAAATGTGGCGTGTGGTGCTGCACAATGATGAAGTACACACTTTCAACTATGTGATACGGTCTCTTTGCAAAGTTATCGGAACCTTGGATCGAAAGGCTGCCTTTGAAATTTGTGTACAGACGCATGGGATTGGAAAAGCTACCGTCACCAAGACATGGAAAAAACAAGCCGAGCAGCATTGTCTGGGATTGCAGAGACAGGGATTGACCGTCAGTATTTCACCCGACAAGGACTTTGATGGTGGTCACTCGGGTGGTGGACTGTAGAAAGAAATGTTGCTAGATAATAGTAATAAATATGCCAGTAAAAGCATCGAAGGAACTCGAAACGGTGATACATACAGCAGGATCTTGCTGCTGAAGAGACACCGGGGAGTGACTCGACTCTTCGTCTAGCAAGCTGAGAGCATGCAATTTATAGCGCCATATTGATGCCCTTTTTGGTCGTCTACCTGGGTGAAATGACCGGAATGCAGCTGCTTTTTCAATGGTCCCAGCAAAAAGACTTGTAGCAAATTACTTACTTCACTCTGTATTCAAGGCTTTCATGCAACCAGTTGATTTCGTCCATGATCAACAGTGTTTGCAAGCACTACCAGTAGGCCAGCTGTAGGCCTTCAAAATATGCAAGACACGAGGCTGCGACATCGAAAACCCCGTATCTGAATATGCTTCCAAGCAAAGATTGGTAACTACGTCTTAGCTTTTCATTCGGTTTTGTGCACTATGTTCATTTCAAAGGGGACAGTGGGGGAGCTTTCCTGTCTAAACGTCAATCACAACTTCCCTTTTGTTGCTAGGAGGTTCTCCATTGAGCTTGCCACCCAACGCCACTCGACTGTCACTCATGACATCCACATTGGGAGCAAGAATCTTGATGTAACGGTCAAAGTACAAGCTTTGCTTGACCAACAGTCCAAACTCACGAGGCAGCTTCAATCCATTATCTTCGGTCACTTCTACTAGTTCCAACAAGACATTCGTGATTTCAGTCTCGTCCAAATCCAAGCTTCCCGTCGTGGTACCGTCCTCGGCAATGCCGACCGTCACATCGGCCTGCATGCCCCCAATGCGGTCCATGACGCGTTCGATATCTTTACCAAACTGAACCTTGTCGACTTTTTCATCGGCCGCGCCCATGTTGCACAAAGCTTCGGCCATGCCCTCATAGTCACCAGATGCTAATGCGGTCGAGAGCTCGTTGACGGCATTGTACGTTTTCTTGCTCACACGGCCCACGATGCCGAAGTCAATAAAACCAACCCGTCCATCCTCGCAGAGCATCAGATTCTAACATGTATGTGGAGAGTGGAAAGACAAGAGTTAGGCATCCGAAACAGCAACCCTTATGCATTGTGTGAGCTACCGTACTCAGTCACTCACCCCTGCATGAACATCCGCATGAAACCAGGGCATGGTAACGACGGATAGACTCCAAATGTTCAGTGCGGTAATGATGATATCCGTCCCCATCGTGGAGTCTTTACTGGCTTTGGCAATCGTTTCTTCGTCCAGCAAACTAACGCCCCGCAATCGTTCCATTGTCAATACCTTTTTGGTCGTGAACTCTTGATACACTCGCGGCGCTGTGGCTTGTTGAATGAGTCCATTCTCTAGCAAAAAGTCCCGAAATTCCTCGGTATTCTTGGCTTCCGTCACAAAGTCTGTCTCCTCCATCATGGATACACGAATATCTCCCGCCACAGCCGAGAGAGAGGTTCGTTCCCAATCTGGAGAAATGAATTCCAAGATGAGTGCTGCTACATAGACAAAGCCCAAGTCTGCCTTGAGCAAAGAATCAATACCAGGTTTCTGGACCTTTAATACAACATCTTCCCCAGTTTTCAGCTTGGCGGCATGGACTTGGGCAATACTGGCCGATGCGAGTGGTTTCTTGTCGACGTATTCAAAGGTATTGGAGATGGGTCCCAATTCGTCCACAATCACTTTTTCAATGACAGCCCAATCCAAGGGATCCGTAGAATCCAGGCATTTTTGGAATTCCAGCACGTATTCTTTGGGAAACAGGGTTGGGGATGAGGCAATGAATTGTCCTAGTTTGATATAGGTAGCACCCAGCCTTTCAAAGAGGGAGCGAAGAATTTTGGGAAAGGATACAGGTTCCAGTGGTTGCCCAGGTCTTGGCAGAAACTCTCGGAATGTTTGAGACACGGCCAGGTAGGCCTGGAAGGTTCGAGCTGGACCAGCGCGGGGACCAGCATCTACTGCGGTTTTGATTATATCTTGAACCAAACTCTGAAACTCTCGTGGGGTCCTGTCCTGCACTGTCTTGGTCGGCCGTCTTCGTGGGGACGATTGAGATTCCGCCATGTGCAATCTCGACGATTGCCGAGAAGTGGCGGTGTGCGGCAAGATAAAAGCATGGCTACTTGTCAGCATAAGACAAGAAAAGAGACCGAGACAGGCAGACAGCTTCATGGTGGACTGTTCAAGGAAAAGAGGCTTGTGGAGCCGTCGATTTTGGCCATGGTCGTCGAGTCATCTTCCACTGCCCTTCTTCTGAGAAAAATGCTGACGCAGACCAAGAGAGAAGAAACAGCTCTGACGGCTGATTTGACAAAAATCTTTCGCAGGACGAGCTGACGTTGGAGTTGCCGTGAGGACGTGTAATGCCGAATCGGAAGCTCCATGTTGACTGTGGCCACTGTAAGACAGCTGCCGGAGGGAAGCAACATCGTCAGCACATCTACAAGGCAGTATCGTACGTGGTCCGCTCTCTCGAATCTCCATCGCTTACGCACTCTGCTTTGTCACTGTCTCCGGGTTGGACAAACTCATCAATCCGCATTGGACTCATTTTTCGAATCTTTTGCGAAAGAACAAAACCACCACACGTACCAAAACCCTTCTTCACTAGCAAGTCAACATGTGCGCCGCTCCAGGAACTGTTCAATCTGCCGATCAGGGCACCCCCATGGTTAAGCTTGTAAGAAAGGCGCCGTTGATAATGAGACGATAGTTGCCGTGTTCTTGGGTATTAACTTTGTCGCTTCTTTTGTACCTTTTTGTTTTTTCTGTAGGTCACTCTCGTCGGTCTTTGGTACGCTGGAAACACCCTCTACAATGTCTACAACAAGACAGCCGCCAACCAACTGTCGGCACATTGGTTCCTTGCTTCGGCACAGCTTGTGGTGGGAATCTTGATTAGTGCCATCATGTGGGGAAGTGGATTCCGCAAGGCACCCAATCTGTCCAGCCAAGATATCCAAAAGTGCATCCCCATTGGACTTTTTGCCTGTCTGGCCCACTGTGGAACTGTTCTGGCTTCTGCTGTTGGTGCTGTCTCCTTTGCCCAAATTGTCAAAGCCTGCGAACCAGTCTTTGCTGCTGTAGTAGGACTCTTGGTGCCTCCCATGGATGTCAAGCCCATGTTGGCCTACATGATGTTGATCCCCATTGTTGGAGGAGTTGGTTTGGCTTGTGTTAAGGAAGGAAAGGGAGTGGATATCAATGTCGAAGCATTTTTGTTTGCCTCTCTTGCCAATGTTTCCGCTGCCTTGAAGGGAAAATTGGGAAGCTCTGTCACAAAGGCCCTCAAGTCCGATGCTACAAAGAACATGGATGCTGCCAATGTGTATGGAGTCATGAACATTATCTCTTTCATGTGCACTGTCCCATTTGTTCTTTATAATGAGGGAGGTACCTTTCAGGCAGACTGGGCAGAAGCTGTGGAGAAGGTTGGAGCCCAGGAAATTATCAAGAATATCCTTGTTTCTGGATTCTTCTTTTATTTCTACAATGAGTGTGCATTTGCATTTACTGCCTTGGTAGGATCTGTCACTTCTTCTGTTTTGAACACAGCCAAGCGTGTTATCATCATTGTCGTCTCTGCGGTTGTCTTCCAAGAAGCCATGGAGCGCAACACTGTCATTGGATCTGCCATTGCCATCTGCGGAACTTTTGCCTATTCTCTGACATCCAAGGCACCAGCACCCAAGAAGAAGGAGGCTTAAGCTTACATGTGCTTCAGACAGAGCAACAGAGTGACCCTTGCTTGGGAATAATCCCTTCACTCAGCAAGGTTCTTGATGGGAAGGAAATCTACGGGAGTGTCAATTCGACTGCATGCCTGCAATTGAAGCGTGACTTGGAAAAGTCATGCCATTCGAAACAACCATGCAGCCAACTCCCTCTCGACCAAAAACATTTCGCTTATCCAAAGACGAAGCACCACACGCCCCACAACATCCATCCCACCAATTCACTTGTACGTTTCGCACACAGCGCACACAACGCAACCAAAGCCACCATTACAATTCAAGTAAGAGAATTCATAGTAGATTAGGTTATTAATTATATTCGTGTGGTCTTTGAGTTGCTGCACGAGCTGGTATGAAGCTGAATATTGCAGTGGCATTTGCTTCTGTTGCAGCTCCTTCAAAAGACAGCAAAAGAGGGTAACCACAAAAATGAATCGCCGTCCAACAAACTAAAGTCATTACCGGTACCTGGTACTAGCCACTTATAATTGCGGTATCCTCAAGTTTCTTCGGCGACAATCAGCGAAGGGCACCATGTGGAGAGGCGGAGATGCAGAGCCAGTCCGAAGAGATCGAGAAAGGAAAGAAAAATAGTGATGCTGCCAAAACCATCATCGACGCTTCCATCGTTCGTACGAAAGGACGGTTTCTTCGTTCGTACCATTCAAAGACAGCCGCCACGTCATGTCATCATCTCGAAAGGACCACCCACCAGATCGGCAGTGGAAGAAAACAAAGATAAACTATAAATTGTGGTTGCCTCTGATGTAATGTATGGTCGCCTCGTGCCGAGCCTTGGATTCTTCTTGGCTTGCGTTTTGGTATTTAAAATGGGCAATAAGGCCGCGGATTCGGTGCGCTAGGTCTCCAAGTGGAGGCAACTTATCGTGCGTGGCGCATTCAGAGCCAATCACTTTGACGCCCTCCACCTGTCGTGCCGTATCCTGTCTTCGCTTCGTCACTATTTTCTTCTCTGCAAATCTTCCTCCAAACCTTCTATTTGCAAGGCCAAGGCGAAAATTCACTTCACTCCGCATCGACCGTCTCATTTCTTTGTCAACCGAGACAAACACAAAAAAATCAGACAGAGGTATCCATTCTAGTAGCTACCAGGTAGTAACTGAGAAAATATATCCACGATGAGTTCCAAGGATGCTCCCCCCTCTACTTTGAAACTGGTGAGTTGATGCTGTCGTCTAATAATGGATGGAAGGGTAGCTTTTCCTCAAGTGAATCTCGTACTGACGCGTGATGTCATTGATTCTCGTTTTTTATTTATTTCAGGCGGTTTTGGTTGGCGCTTGGTATGCCGGTAATACCTTCTACAACATCTACAACAAAAAAGCTACCAACATGATCCATGCCCATTGGTTTGTGGCCACTGCCCAGTTGGTTGTTGGTATTGTCTGGAGTCTTTTGATGTGGGGAACTGGCCTGCGAAAAACACCCAATCTGACTGCCAGTGATATTGCAAACTGCATTCCCATTGGTCTTTGTGCTTGCTTGGCTCATGGAGGATCTGTGTTGGCATCTGCCGTTGGAGCTGTCTCCTTTGCACAAATCGTCAAGGCCTGTGAACCTGCTTTTGCTGCAGTTGTGGGACTTTTGCTCCCACCTGTGGATGTGAAGCCCATGCTTGCCTATGCCATGCTTATTCCAATTGTTGGTGGTGTTGGATTGGCTTGTGTTAAGGAAGGAAAGGGAGTGGATATTAATGTTGAAGCTTTCTTGTATGCTTCCATGGCCAATATTGCTGCTGCTTTGAAGGGAAAATTGGGAAGCTCTGTCACAAAGAGTCTCAAGGCCGATGCTACAAAGAACATGGATGCTGCCAATGTTTATGCCGTGATGAACATTATTTCATTTGCATGCTCTGTTCCTCTTGTGGTAATTAATGAGATGTCCACTTTGCCAAAGGTCTGGGAAGAGGCTGCCGCAGAACATGGAGCTGATGCCATTATCAAGAATATTGTTTTGTCAGGAATCTGCTTCTACTTTTACAATGAGTTTGCTTTTGCCTTTACAGCCAGTGTTGGAGCAGTTACTTCTTCTGTTTTGAACACAGCCAAGCGTGTTATCATCATTGTTGTCTCTGCTGTGGTCTTCCAAGAAGCCATGGAGCGCAACACTGTCATTGGCTCTGCCATTGCCATCTGTGGAACTTTTGCCTACTCATTGGCATCCAAGAAGGCGCCAGCAGCAGCTGCACCCAAAAAGAAGGCTGAGTAAATCGCAGGGTGGGCTCTTGATCATTGTGCCAGTGGCCTCTTCATGATTATTATCAAACCAGTAGTCTAGCGGAGCAGCCTTTTGAAACAGTGCTGATCACGCAACAACCCATGGGGCAAAAAAACACTGGCCAATCTGTTCTATTTGGCGGCAATTGTGAGCTATACAACAAAACCATCGTATTGCCGAAGAATCTAAAATCCATACTGTAAATGTTTTCAATTGCATGCATGCATTACTAAAAGAAAGAACTACGCATTCCTTCCATCCTCTGAGCTGTGCCGAGAGAGGCAACATCAGCATTACATCTCCCGGTTATTCTATGAGCTTTTGCAGATCTTCGCCAGTGATACCCCCTGTTGGCAGTTTATCTTGTAGTTTTCCGCTATTCAACGAGTCTGCTAGCTGTTGCAACTTGGCCGAAAATAGTTTCTGGGAGGCCTCGCAGGAACCATCGCAACTTTTCTTACCATCGACAGGGAAGCAAGGTGTGGGGGTGATTTCTCCACTATCAATAAATGTTCGGACATCCAATGCGATTTCGTCCATGTTGTTGGTGCTTGGAATTTCGTGTCGAAACAGTGCCTCTTGGCCTACGGCCTCGGCCACTGTAACTTCCATGGTATGAATACCACGTTTCCGTAAAAATGTGGCATCCAAGCCCTGTAGGATTTTGCCCCACAAGTAAATGGCCAATTCTTCTGCCGTGGCATGAACCAGTGGCAGCAAGAGACAATCCTGTTTGGGAAACACAAAGACGGCCCCATCTTCGCAAACCAATTTGACAATGGCTCCATCGCCCAACTCTGGGTTGTTATTGCTGTTGTTGTCTATTACCGAAATTGTAATAACATCGGAAAGCATGGGACACAAGAAATGTTCATTCAGAGATTTACAGACTTTTTTGGTGACAGCCTTGATATCTCCAAAGTCTACAACGTAGCCATCGTGACCAATTTTGCGAGAACCCAGTAATTTGACAGCCACTTGATAATTGTGTCCATGGAGTCGTTCTCGAAAGTTTTTAAAGGCTACAAAATGTGCGGCGTTGAATTTGAACGTGTCCTTGGCCACACGAACTTCAAAAGAGGTTTGAAAGGATGACATGATGGTACTGTAGTATTGAATTCTCAATAATGATATTGATACCTATGATATCTCTGGTTAGGATCCGCCTTCCACCTGCATTCTCATCATGGTCCAAGAAAGATGGATGGATGGGGTTGTGGCAGGGGTATCATCGAATTGAGACCATTTCTTTCGAACGTAATCGATTGGATAATTCGGAAGAACTGACGTCAGTGTTCTGAAGTGGCAGTCGTGGTTTACCCGTGAGTTGTTTTCTGGACGGAATCTTTTCTCCGAAGATTCTCGGAGCTGTCACAGACAAGCTGCAGTTCAGAGAAGACAGAACACAATGACAGCACTCTCTCTCTATTGTTCCAAAGCTTGGAATCAGATACCAAGGCTAGCATCACAATTCCATTCTCTGCAGTATCCGCACCAGATCATGTCCTTTTCGTCTCGTCGTCGAAACTACTTATTGACTCCTCACAGGAGAGATGGCTTGATTGAATGGTGAGTTTGTTGTTTCTGTTGCTGGAGTTCGCAACAATGACGTGATGACATCGATCACTAAACAGTGTGTTCTGTCGTTCTTGGTTTTTTGGTTGCTAGGATGAAGAAGATGTTGTCGCACAGCTTTGTGCTCGATTGTCTGGGGGTAGGTCTATGATGTATTGCATCTATTAATTAAGTTGGTTGTTCTTGTACCCCAACAACTCATGGTCATGCCCTGCCTTTTTAATAATAGACAACCGGAGCAGACACCTTTTCCCATTTTGAATTGCTGATTGAAGAACATCGCAAATGGGAGGCAACCAGCAAGGATAGAGCTCCCTCCCGTCTCAAGCAATTGGTGCCGACCATTGGAACCTTTCACACCAATCTGCCACTGCGAGAAGCCTTTTTGTTCTACAACAAGAAGCACGGACTCACCAATCGCAAACACATTCAAATTTCCTTTAACGAAATTCGACACATTCTCAACTATGCCCAAATCATGGCCTTGCGAGATACCGTGATTGTGGCAAAGAATAATAATGGTGACAACCCGGAGGATTCCGCCAGTGATGTCAATGCCAGTGATGACAACAACGACGACAATAAAGCTTTTAATGGACCCAATCTTATCACCTTTGATGGAGACCAAACGCTCTACTCGGATGGATCCAACTTTGATCACAATCCTGAATTGGCCAATTATCTGTACAAACTCATCAAACATGGAGTCTTCATTGCAGTGGTTACGGCTGCTGGGTATGAGTACAATGTCGAAAAGTACGAGTTCAGATTGTCCGGACTCTTGGCCTTTTTTAAATCCAAAGGCTTGACTCCCGAGGAGTGTGATCGATTCTTTCTGTTTGGAGGAGAATGCAATTATCTACTCAAGGTAAGAAGGATGTGTACAAATCACGAGTCCAACCCAATACATATTCGTCTTATTCTCGTCAACCATGCTGTGTACCGTACATACATCCACATAGCTTGGAAACGATTACAAATTGCAACCCATTAAGGAGGATGGTCCTGGTGGATGGTTCACGGCAACACGACACTTGGAAGAAGCACCCTGCAATTGGAACGAAGCCGATGTCACGGGTTTGCTGGATCTGGCCGAAACATCCTTTCACAATTCCATCAAAAACATGCATATTCGTGGACGTGTCATTCGCAAAAAACGATCCGTAGGGTTGGTACCCACACCAGGAATGGAAATTCCAAGAGAAGCACTCGATGAAACAGTCTTGGCGTTGCAGGATACTCTCACTAGCATGGGGTCGGCACCTGGAGTCGATTTGCCACGATGCATTTTTAATGGTGGAACCGATGGGTGGTGTGATTGTGGTGAGTTTGTTTGTTGTGTATTTGGTTATTAGATGTTCCTTGAGATCGAGCATGTAGAAAACGGTGTGCACTGACACGAGCTTACTTTCATTCATTTTGCACAAGGCAACAAACGCGTCGGAGTCATGATGCTGCAATCCTACCTGGGCGTCTCAGCCGTCAAAACGCTCCACATTGGCGACCAATTCCTCAACACGGGCAATGATTTCGCTGCCCGAACCGTGTGTCCCTGTATCTGGATTACCTCACCTGACGAAACAACCTACATTCTAAAGTCCATTCTCCGACTGGCAGGATTGGGGGTTTCCATGGCGGAAAATAGCACCAAGAAGCCGGATTTCAAACGAGCGGCTTCCTTAGACTTTACTGAAGCTGAAAGGCGTTCCAAAGCTGTCAAAGTGATGGATGTGTACACCGGCGAGATAATAAGCAAGGAAACGCATTCATAGGTGAAGAAAACAATAGGCAAACATGCCATAAACAATTCTATTCACCAAGTAGAATAGTTTGGCCCTCCAAATTGCAAACTGCTAGATACGGTACGCTCACCATGAGCCAGAATGACTTGACCTTCGTCGCCTATCACAAAGTTTGCTGCCTTTCCAAAGTGCCACCAACTACTAGCTAGCTACAGGGTACGGTACTGTACATGTACGATCATCAGGAGCCATCAACTGGATTGGCTAGGTGGTACTAGCTAGATGTAGATGTAGAATAACTGATTCCATGACCTGCCTTCAAGATCTATCTTGGACTCGTCACTGGACTCACTGGACTACTTTTCCACCAACCAGCCTCCAGGAAACACTACAGGGAGATGCGGTGATTATTTTTAAAAATACCTCTAATATTCACCTCAACTTCCTTCAACAAAACAACACACCGCGGAAACGCAAGCTGCAGATCTACGAATATCTGATGATGATCAAGGGCCAACACGCAACAGCACCCACCCCGCCGCTAATGCGTGCCTTCGTCTATTCTCTCGAAGCAGAAAGAATCCCCTGCTGATCTGCAGTTTTTGGTATACCAAACGGAGATTTGGGTAGGGCATATCCTTGCCTTTTTGGGCATGGGACAATTTGCTTTTGTTGGTGCTGTCAACAAGCAATGGAAGCAGCTTTACCAGGAATATTGTGCTACTGTGGAGAATCCTCCTTTAGTCATGATAGCAGAGCCCCGGTATTCCTATGAGAGGCGCCCAGCAAACTACAAAGACACTTTTTACTCAGCAGTGTTCTCCGATGTGTCTTGCGCAGAATACTGGAACAATTATCAGTGCTCCACAAAGGCCCCAGATGAGGGTGATGTATGCGCTTCAATTGCCAAAGTTGGGTCGCTAAGGGTGCTTCAATGGGCCCACAAAAAGGGTTTTTCTTGGGGAGAAACTTGCTCTCGTGCCGCCCAGAATGGACATCTTGAACTGCTGAAGTGGTCAATACAACATGGCTGCCATTGGGATTTTGGGGGATGCCTAGAAGCTGTGAAAGCAGGCCACCTAGACATACTCAAATATGCCCATCAAATTGGCTATACCCTTGATAAATGGACCTGTGCATATGCTGCCAAGGGTGGACATTTGGAAATAATCCAGTGGGCTCGTGAATGTGGGTGTTCATGGAACGAACACACGTGCGCAGCAGCAGCTGAGATGGGCTACTTGAAAATCTTGAATTATGCTCATGAAAATGGTTGTCTTTGGAATGAAAGGACATGCTCTGAAGCTGCTGGTAATGGGTATTTGAAACTCTTGATATGGGCTCGAGAAAAAGGCTGCCCCTGGGATGATAATTCAATCCAGAAAGCTGCAGAATCTGGACATGTGGAAGTGTTGAAATGGGCCCATGAGAATGGATGCCCATGGGATGAAGATGCATGCAAGGTTGCTGCCGAAAATGGCCATTTGGAATGCATCAAGTATGCCCACGAAAACGACAGTCCCTGGGATAGAGACACGTGCAGGATTGCCGCTAAGAAAGGTCATCTGAAATGCCTCACGTATGCTCATGAGAATGGCTGCACGTGGGATGAAGCAACATGCGCTTTTGCCGCTGCAAGTGGCCATTTGGACTGCTTAACATATGCCCATGAAAATGGCTGCCCATGGGATGAAACAACATGTCTATGGGCTGCTGGACGTGGTGTTCTCGATGTTTTGAAGTATGCCCACGAGAATGGGTGTCCATGGGATGAACCCACTTGTGCAGGTGCTGCTGAGTGTGGCGAATTTGAAATCCTGAGATATGCTCATGACAAAGGTTGCCCATGGAATGAAACGACATGCTCTAAGGCTGCTGGTAGTGGCCATTTGGAAATCTTGAAATGGGCTCGTGAAAAAGGATGCCCCTGGGATTCAGATACATGCATCCAAGCTTTCCTTTTTGACCAGTGGGATGTCTATAACTGGGCTCGTGAGAATGGTTGTCCAGAACCGGTGATCTGCTGAATGGTGATTATTAATCCTATAGTTGTATCCTACCAGAAGAATCTGTGCCAGCCTTTCTCCCGACTAGCTGTCTAGTTTTAGCTAATGTTGCCAGCATAGACTTGCCGTGATTCTGGTCTGCCCTGAGTCTTTGTAGCAATGGTAGACTGTGGTACAGGCTGCAGATTCTCTCATTGCTCTAGTCAACACCCTACCGTATTGCTTGATTACTAATAAAGATTGTGCTTAGCTAGATTTGCATCCTGTTATACGGAGTAGATCAGTCTCTGGGGGGTTTAGTACCTCACCCAGTTGCTTCTGCCTTCAATCTCTTAGCCAGCTAGCTCTCCAGCAACCATCATTCTTGCATCTTGCATCTGTTTCCAGTCTGTGTTGTGCACTGTTTTGCGGCACTTCAGTTGGTGGCGTTGCTGCGTCTAAGAACGTCAGCCCTATCCTTGTAGCCTGTCCTTAGAATATTTATCTCCCCGTGTTGTAAATGGGTCATTTTTAGAAGTGCTCCCACCAGCCATCGTCGAGGGCATGGGGGTAGCTGTGCTCAAATGAGAATTCTATGCCAATGAAATGATCCATGTGGTGCATGCAGATGTCAACACGATTGGCATCTGAATGGTACATAACCATCTTCTCCATCCACTGGGGTGTGTGGTTCCCCCCAAACCAAGCAACCATGAATGCCTGGAATGGGAGGAGTTTAGCCCAAACAGATTTTTCCAGTTGCGCCCACCCCTTGTGGCAGGTGTTTCGGTGGCGGTTGTTGGGAACGTCGGCTTTCTTCACTTTCCCTAAGAATTCCTCCATCTTGGTGGTCCCATTGATGTAGAAGTAGCCGTCGTTTGGGAGGTGAATGACCAAGGTCTTCAGTGTGTTGCCCCTCACTGTCTCTCGGGGTGTGACTGAGCACTCACACTCCCATGTTAGGTCATCCAAGACATACTCAAATGTGCGTGAAGGCGACCCCTCGTCCATGTTGCTGACATCAGCATATGAGTAGAGCTGTCAGTTGAGATGAGGAAGGCGGGTCTGCCACGCAGCTAAATTTTGGTTGAGATGAGAAATGTCTAAGCGGTGCCGAGACAATCCAGGCTTGTCACGGATGCTGCGCTGCTTTGCCAGTTCTTCTCCAACGTAAGTTGGGTCCTGCTTCCAAAGCATATACTCATCCTTTCGGATAATCTCCAGGTAAAGAGCCTTGACTAGTGAATCATCTCCTGTTGCTGTTGTCATCCTTGCTGTTATTGCCAGTGGTACGCTGTGTTCCTCCATTGCTCCCTTGCTGTGTTCCTCCGTTGCTCCCTTGCTGCGTTGCTGCGTTGCTGCGTTGCTCTGTTGCTCCGTTGCTCCGTTGCTCCGTTGCCGATTGCTCCTTTGCTTTCAAAGTACAGCCGGATAATGATCAAACTAGAGAAAAGGCAAAAAGGTTTAAGATGTTTCCACTTGGTAATTTCGTGCTCTGCTTGGTCCGGGTACCAAGACACAGATAAAACAGTTAAATTGGTGGTACCAAGGGGACCAAGGGGAGGTGCCAAGATTTTGGCAAACTTGGCCCTAGGGGAGGTACCAAGTTCAAAGGAAAAATTACATAAGGATCCAATTACATACTTAGGGAACTCTCAGGTACCAAGAAACTGAAAACCACAATGTGAGATGCCACTACTATTAGTACAAGTGATGGTCCAAGAAGTATTTAGGCTATGATAGTATCTAACTAGCCAACTTGGTTCAGGTTCCAAGATGGCTTGGGAATGGAAAAGTAAAATTTGGTCCATGGATCAAGAATGCTTAGTACCAATAAAATAACTAATAAAAAGAGCAAAGAAGGTGCCAAGTTGGAGCTCCAATAGCTTGGTATCTCTGTGGGGAACACACTCATATGCAAACCATTTTCGGGCAATAAATCCACTGAGACCCTTTGCAATGACTAAACTTGGTACCGTGGTACCAAGTTTAGATGATTTACGGTTTGTCTAATTAATGTAACTGTCAAGAGTCCCAGTGAAATTACTTAGAAAACTCCTACAAATGTTACTACAGTAATATTACTCCGATACCCCCTATATACCCAGTCCCGGTATCCAGAACCCGGGACCCGCCACTAAGTCCAACCAGTACCAGATACAGATTCTGCCAACAGAAAGGTACAGAAATTACATAAGAAAACTACAATTCCAACGGAAGAACCACAGCGCCCAATAACACAGAGAGACACATTCCGACCCCAGCATTGTTACATCAGCCTACACAAAACCGCCACTATAGTACCCTAAGTACCAAAGAGCAATGTTACCCAAAATGCGCCCTTTAAATCTGGTGCTTTTTCAGTAGTGTGGAAGGTGCCAACCTGCGAGCATCTCACAAATCGAAATCGAAATCAACTTTGTTGTTGTTGCTTTCTGTTAACTCGCGACCATGGCCACTACCGCCGCTACTGAGGATGCCGGATGGGTCTATCCGTACAAGAAGGATCACCAGGGCGCGATGGTAGCCTTCATGTCCCATTTTCACGGCTGCGTTTACCCCAGGAACAAGGAATTTACCAAAGACGAGCTACTTGCCATCACTCCCTCCCATGTGAAAGCCTTCCTCAATTTTCGGGCCTATGGCAAAGACCATCCTGGCGAAGGCGACTTCCCTGTGCTTATGAGATCAGGCTCTGTTGAAAAGCTGAAGCAGAGCATCAGTTGGTACATGGTGAACAAGAATGTTCCTTGGTTGGATGGTCGTGGAGGAAATCCTGCGAGACATGTGTCATTGAACCAAGCCATCAAGAAGATAGAGAGGCACGAAGCTCGTGATGAAGGCAAGGATGCGAACGACAAGCGGGCCTACAACAACAATGAGTTCTACAAAGTGCTGGAGATGTTGGTTTCGCCAAAAGAAGGACTTCAACCATCGCTACAAGTACACCATGATGAGTCTTTGGTCTTATCATACTTGTCATTTCAAGGTGGAAGCTCCGCATGGATCAATCGAGCATCCGTTCGCAATCTACACCAAGACGCAATACTCAAAGAATGTCAGGAGTATGCGCGACTGTCCAGACCAAATCCTACTTGGGGCAGATGAATGGAAGGTTTGCCCGCAGCTGAATCTTGCAATTTACATGGATAAATGGCTCCAGCTCAATCCAAACGCAGTCCACCTTTTCACTGGAGCGTGCCTCAGCGGGTGCGAATGGGGAACCCAGGATTTAGGGTAGGATTCACTTTAGGGAAGAGTTTGAAACTCTGCCCTATAATTAGGGCAGAGTTTTGAAAACATGCCCTAATTTAGGGTAGAGTTTGAAACTCTGCCCTAAATTAGGGCAGAGCTTCATAGTATTTACTATGCAGTCATATGCAGTCCCGTTTCGATTTAGGGCAGAGTTTGAAACTCTGCCCTAAATTTCAAGCTCTGCCCTAATTTAGGGCAGAGTTTGAAACTCTGCCCTAATTATAGGGTAGAGTTTTGAAACCATGCCCTAATTTAGGGTAGAGTTTGAAACTCTACCCTAAATTAGGGCAGAGTTTGAAATTTAGGGCAGAGTTTGAAACTCTGCCCTAATTATTAGGGCAGAGTTTGAAACTCTACCCTAAACACCGCCACAGGCACGATTGAGCAACGCTCCTGAGAACGATGACACAAAGAAAGGACCACACAACTTGAATCAGCAATACAGCAACCGCGTCAAGGCCACAGTGTGGAAGCATGATGAATTCAAAAGACTTGAAGACCAAGTCAGATCAGCCAAAAAGGAAGTTGGTACTCATAGCATGTGAAAATATGTATCGACAAAAGCATCCAGGAAGGGAGCGAATACCAGCATGGTAGAGTACCGTGGACGCTGGGTTGGAGACAAGTCTAGCCGTGTTGTTGCTCTCAGGTACATTGACAAGACAGATAACTATGCGGACGCCTTTGTTGCTGGCTTGTTGTGTAATGGTGGACCAATCCGGTACCAGGCAGGCCTAAATATCAGCGACAATTTTCTCCACAAACATGTGGTCAGTCACATCAAGAAGCGGTCAAACGATCTACGGCTTCTTTGTGTCCTTGGTTTGGCCAAGCTTTGGGCTGCGTTTGATGCTGACGCAAGCAGCCTACTCGAGGAGGAAGAAGTGCAATACATCCGTGGAGTATTCACTGCTCAGTATGGTCCTATTGAGGGAAATCCAGTCAAGAAAATTGGAATTGAAATTTATAATGTTAATGGAGAACTCGACATTCGCGACAGAGCTACTGGTGGCAATGGTGGCGCCGCAGGTCCTCCAGCCGCAGGTCCTCCAGTGAACGGAGGAGCCGCATGTCCTCCAGCAAACGGTGGTGGCAATGGTGGTGGTGGTGGCCACGCTGGTCACGCTGTGTTGTTTGCTAGTAATACTGCAGCTTATTGGGGAGTAATTTGGTTTTAGATTAAGCTGAAAAGCAAAAGTGAGGATTTTCTGGTGGTGCATAGCAATTCTTGTGATTGAATTAGATATAAGGCCCGTAACACTTTTTTGTAGACCTAAAATCCTCGGTTTTTGGCTGATGTTTGATCGAAACCGGATTAGTGATTTACCGGTCATAGTAAGAGGTGTAGGTTATTTCTCCACGTTGGAGCACAATTAATACGTATGAGGCTGGAAGAACATGATGAATTCAGTTCCTGACAACCGAGAGGAGGTAGCGAGCTTGGCTACTGCAGGTCAACAAGCTGCTGGTCATCGGGCGATTCGGCGCTACAATTCACAAGGCTTCAGCGACAATCAATGGCGAATTACACCACTCTAGGTTGCTCATTTTCCATTTGTCATGATTAAAAAGAAACGAATGTTTATGGCCCGAGTTCTTTTTCCTGAACTGCCTTGCCATTCTCTGCAAGTATGATCTGTGCTTTTGTTGTCCTGCATGGGATTTGTCCTTCACAACTATACTCTGCTCTTCAAGGAACAATTTTGCCCACAACATGGGCGACTATGAACATCGTCAGCTCCAACAATTCCGCTTCCGTGCTCCTCCTCAATTCAATTTCTGTTTCGCAGACACAGACACGCACCGTGCCACTTCCAAAGGACATGACTCTTCTGTATGGGAACGGTAATCAGGAGTGGACTGCAAATGATGCATCCACCCACCAAGTGATGACAACGGATATATCAACGTGGAGAATCAACTTGTCCTCCACTGTTGGTCAGGAACTTCTATCCTTGAATCAACTTGCCCAGTCATCAACTGTGGGATTCCTCACACGTGTCAAGAGAAACATTTGTCAGTGTTTGGACATCTGATCTTGCTCTCTTACACGCAAACAACAGCTTGGCTGCGTTGGTGTGATAGATTCCTCTGGTCTTGTCATCCAAATCAGCTCCATCACCAGAACAGAATAAATCGGCAGGTGCAGCGCTGGACACCTTCTTCAATTGCTCGATTCAAGTCCCCGGGAATCCAAGATCATCTTTTAAGATAGTCATTATGTCATGGACTCCTTGCATGGATCGGAAAGTCCACGTCTCCCAGTAGTCATGCTTGTGACAACGGGTTGCCTTGACTGCTCCATAGGTTCCATACCTTCCATTAAACCATTCCAAAGTCCGGTAATTCACCAACTTCATCCTGTGGCTTGACATCAAATCAGCAACATGGAATCGAATTGTTTGTTGGTAGCATTCGGTCATCCGGTTGGCCACACAAAGATCGTATTTGTTGAACACAAATCCATTTTGCTCGAGGTCACTTCTAAATAGCTTGTACCAAAGAAGTGCTGCCAAAACCATGCCATAATGGCTCTCTCCACGACAAAATAAAGGACAGGACGTCCATTTTTGTATGTTAGGAAAGAGGCATATGTGTTAGGATCAATTTCGACAAGTAGGTCTGCAAGGGTTTCCTCAATGATCATGAGGAACCTGACTTCACCTTGGTTTGATCCCCCCCCACACTTCCCCCACCCCCCCCACCCATTCGGCATTGGGTTTTATGGAACGCATTGGAACATCCAGCGGACAATCAATCCCCTATCTTCGGGATGGCATCGACGCACATCGTCAACATTAGACCTTCAAGTGAAACTGTTGGGTTTCTGGCATCTTCTTTCTGATGGTACACCCTTGTAGGTTTCCCATTGTAGACTGCACGGGCATTGACCGTGCCATCCCTTTTCTCAGTCACAAACATGGGTGCCATTTGTGCCCTTTTCAATTCAGAATCACTGCATTTGTTTGGGTCGACTGACCTGAAACACCTCTGCTGTGTAGCTGGTCCATCTATTTGAGCGCCGCCTCTCTGGCTTTGTTGCCCCACACTTTCAGACCCTTGGGTAGCAGATGTTGTTGGGCATGGCTGCTCTCATCAATGACTTCTGCTGTGGCACTACTGTGATTACAGGAGTCCATGAACAAAGCTAGGAGCTTGCTTGTCTCTGTCTAATACAGTAGTGGTTGCTTCGCTTTGTCATCTTGGACGTAGGTTACTCCTTTCTTTGTTTCGGCTGTGGCAATCCGAGCTGAGCGTCCAATTCCAACTCGAGGAAGCTTGGAAGCTTTGGCTGCCAGCGAGTTTCCATCATTGGTATCCACTGCAGGTGCCGTCTCTTCCAATGTAGGGTTGTCTGGACTTTGTGCTTGTTGGGATTCTTGGGAATCCTCTTCTCCTTTCTTCATCGGAGGTCAATGTCTGTGTCATACTGTTTGGATTCCCTTGTTACTAGCCCTGGGGCGTTACCGTCTTCAGAATCTTCATCTGATTTCGTGGATTCCACTGAATCTTCGTCCGAAGAGTCTCCATAGAATTGTAGGTAGCTCTCATTTCCATGTACACCATCCACTCCTGCAGGCAAACATACAGGTAAAAATTCCACAAGTCACGA